CCATGTTGTTGGTGAAAGATGCAATATTTAGTGGTGTCATGTTTGGCTGGGAGAGGGTTTGGAGAAGGTTGAGGGTCAAGGAGGTTGATGTGTTCCTTTTTTACTAGGATTTCCATGGCGCAGGTAAGAGACATATGGAGTGGATGAAAAGTTCTTTAAGGGGTTCGGGTGGAATTAGTTGTTTGCGGATCGGTATACGCAAAAGGATCAGCCATTTTGGTAGTGGCAGCGACCTAGTTGACTTCAGAAGGTTTCATAGCTGTGCTACTACTGGTAGTAGCATTGGAACTGGGCCCAAAGGTTTTTGGTTCAGGTTCTTTGTTATCGACGATGATTCTCTACTTGATGGCATCTTCTATCTAGACGCCCATTTCATATGGTTCCTTAAAAGTGAACAGTGGGAGAACTATCATCTTTTGTCTCATCTTGCTATGCAAATTCCTTACCACCATGCGAACATCTTTCTCAGGTGGTCTATTGGTCATCATTGCTGCCTTGCCCTCCATCTGGTGATGAAGTCTACAAGACTTTCATTTGGCTCTTAATGGGTTGTTTCTAACTCCCAGGTGGTCACTTCAATCTAAGTGTTATAAGCATACTAGATGATAAAAGCCTCGGCCAATTCTTCCCAACTCTGTTTCACCGAGTCCTCTAACTTGGCATACCAGATGGCAACCACTATTGACAAAGTCTGTTTGAATAGAGAGAGCCTTTGTGGACGAGTTAAATCCATAGGCTTCAAAACATTAGAAAATAGACGGATATGCACCATTGGGTCGCCAGATCCATTGAATCTATCGATGTGTGGCATCTTGAATTGTTCAGAGAACTTCACAGTTATTTTTGTATACCAATCTTCGATGTCTGGGATTAAATTGATTCCTTGCGACCTTTTGAATAGTTTTTCCAATTTGGCTAGTTTTAACATAGTCAGATTGAACTCATTTGTCTCCAAGGAAAAGAGCCCTCTTATTGGTTGTGAAAGGGAAAAAAGCCCTCCCGACGATTGCATAGGAATCCTCAGGTCTTCTTGCAAGTAAGGGTCAAGAAGCTCTTTAGATAGTGGAGGTGGACTTGGAATTATATGAATCACCGAGGGTGGTTGGGTAGTAGACGCCCCAGATGGGCATCGCAATTCAGCGAAAGTGTCACCCTGGTTGGCAACCGTGTTTGCAATAGTATCCATGCTTCGTTGAAGATCCAAAAGCATGTCTACTATATTTTCTGGAACTTGGGCCATTGCTGATTCTGGTGAGTTGGGTAGGGATGATCTAGCTAATGGAGAAGGGGTACTTTGAATAGTTGATAAGGCTTTCACCCTTCTTTTTCGTGTAACCGGTGGTAAAGAAACTAACATTGGTTGTCCCTACCCTAAACCAAATCTGTGGTTCTGCTAAGCCTACCGGTGCGAGCCCAAAGAACTTGAGGGATATTAGGCCGTTTTGAAGCTATATACCTAACAAAAACAATGAAACCCTCAATCAGAATTTCAGCAGCATTTCGATTCAATTGATCGTTATACAACATACTGAAACACTAAATTCAACCCCTTAACAAGAAATGCCTGAACCACTACTCAAAATTTTGAGAACCATAGGTCCCATACATTGCACATACCAGGAAAGAAAACAAACACCTGTACAGAGGGTAGGATTATCCTATCTTCGCTTTGACATGATCTAGGGCTTCACTATTCAAACAAGTGGCATCATACATCTTAGAATGGGATAGTATCTTGTTTTATTTTTGGTAGTTGCTAAAGTTTACTATATGCACTAGGTCAGTCTTTGGTCAAAAGGGTACCTCAGTGAGACACCGATATACTTGCCCAATTCGATGGATCAAGTGGTACGTGGTGATCCCGATTCCAAGGCTTGTGCTCCCACCATATTAGAGCCATGATCGTCTATCAGCCCGAAGTTAAATAGCCGTTTAGGATAACAGGTGACGAGCACGGGACTTAGGCGCACCAATGCATGAAATGCAATGAACATATAATTAAGAATAAAAAGTATATCATGGAGTTTGAGTCAAGGTTTCTTTATAAATCTCTAGTAAAGTCGCCAGAAACTGTAACACCGCCCGGGAGGGTACCTGCACACGTTAAACAGTTCGGACCCTCGATCTCTTCGATCTAGTCACACGAGTGCAGTGTGAAACATAGATGAGAGTTCAAATCTGGAAACTTTTATAGAAAATCCATTTTATTGCAAAACCTTTACCATAAATGGACTACATCATTAGATCTCAAAGTCGCCACCTAATATTTGGAAAAATTAGAAAACCCGTGACTTGTGCCAAGGCTACTATTTGTTGTAACCAAGGATGCTTGACTCGGAACCTTAGGTATGAGAGGGAAAGGTTATTAATTGAGCACCCCTACTTACCCGATCAAAGATAGGCCTCTATTAAAGCGTGATATGATTTTTATTTACTTTATGTGTTCATATCCCGATTTATTCAATAAATCTAGAAATTACTATGTGAAACAAACAACTGTAGGTTGTGTCATTCATTTTCGAACGATTTGATTTCATGTATTTTTGAAAGAATTTTAAAAATGTACAACTCAAAGAAATTGAATTTACAAACATGAAAATCAATATTATTCTAAATTGAACGATACAACCTGTATTCACTGGTATTCATAAAAATATATCACTTAAGCATATAGCCGTATGGTAGGATGTTAAACATAATAAAAACAAAATATGTACAAGTGGGATATTAAAGCTATAAATATGCAAGATACTATATACAAAAGACAAATGCAATAGTAAAAAATATTCAAAATTTCACAATTCTAACCTCGTGGTTGCGTCTGAAACGGTCCGTTTGGCTAGAACCAACATTCGTCGCACTTCCAGGGGCCTTACTTAAAAATTCTCTTAAAATTTGGGCCACAACACAGTTGTCTGAAAATTTTGGGCCAAATTGCAATTTTCAAAACTCAGGGAATATTCTGTTGATATCATGGAATATTCTGTCCACTACAGCTAAAGCTGTCTGCCTATGTCAGCGATGAAGCCATCATCACTACATCATGCTAACGTTATCCTCCACCAAAATATAAAACACAAGAGATGTTGTTGGGAGGGTTTGAACCGAGGATCGAAACCCCAACACTCAAGATCTTAACCAGTGAGCCAAATCAAGCCTTGTGTTATGTTTTCCTTCAGATAATATTTAAACATTAAAACCAAAGAGCAAATTACCCAAGGTTGGACGTCTGGGAGGACGTCCAGGGAGACGACTGGTAGTCACTCTTTGCCCAGTTTTGCCCAGTTTCGGTCGGTTTTGCTAAGACCGATAGATATTAATGAGAATTGTTTCTAAAAATTCATCTTTAAAAGAAAAGATTTTGATTAACAAACTCTTTTCCTAACACTCTCAAGCTTATGGAATAAACTTTAAAATCTCAAAAAAAAAAAAAAAAGGGTTCAAATTTAAGCTTCAATGGAGTTTTTGAATTAGTTTTAGTAAAGAGAAGGGTATATCAGTGAATAAAGCTCTCAGGTTTAAGTTGTTGTATTTTCACAAAATATATCTCAAGTAAAATAGGTTTCTCTCTCAGACAACTTTCTTTTGCAAAGAAGCTCTCTCTCTCTCTCTCTCTGACTTTTTTCCTTTTCCTTTATTTGAAAGCAATTTTCCTCCTCATCTCTCCCTCTGACTTATCTCCCTCTTCTCAAAACCAATTCTTACCACTTTATAAAATCAAATTTTCCCTCTCACAACACCCAATAATTCCTCACAAATCACATGGCAACCCGTGAGGTTTCTCACAAGCCGTGTGGTCATCTCACGAGGGAATGAGGCCAATTTTTTCAAAATTGCTCTATGTTCTAAATTTCGTCCAGAAAAAGGTTTTTCGATAGGTGTAAAATAATTTGGCCAAAACGGGTGTAAGGGTGGGATTGAAGCTTAAATCTAATTTTTCTTCTGAGAAATTCATAAAATAGCACATTCCAATTTTCATCATCAGGTGTTCGGAAAAAAGCACACAAGTTTTAGGGCCGGTCAAAATGGGATGTCTACAGACACATACGTCGCTGGATCTACAAGAACAGTGGTGAGATAGTCGTGATTGAAGCACCATGGTAGCGAGATCGTTGGCAGTGACGGAGGTGATGGTCGATTGGCATCAAAGATGAAGAAGAAAAGAGAACAGAAAGAGAGAGAGAGAGAGAGAGAGAGAGAGAGAGAGAGAGAGAGAGAGTGTGTGTGTGTGTGTGTTTGGTTAGGGTGTGGTTTGGTTTGGGAATAATATAGCCTAACCACATGGTATGCAACGAATACAAGGCCTTACTATTTTTAAGTCGCCTGAACCCCCTGTTACTAGGCCTAGCAGTAGTAAAGCTCTATCCTCAGGCCACATGTTAATGCTGGCCCATCTAGATTGGGCATTCAGGGGCTTCAGGATCAAAGCCTTGATAGATTATCTTTTTTCACCCTTAATCCCCTTCGGAAGGCTAAGAAATCTGGCAAGAAGAAGGCTCATGTGGAGGGCTTCTCCCATTTTGCTAGGCTTTATGGTCAGAAAGCCGCAACCATTAGTAAACATACATCCAGGTCTGTTATCTTCAGACCTACTGCCGTTGCTTTTGCTCAATCAGATCTGTCCGAGGAAGACTCAAGCTCAAATAGCCTCCTCCTTAAAGAAGCTAAAGCAACCATTAACTTGGGGGAGCAACTTGGTATTAATTTTAAGGGTAAAGAAGTTGTTGTGCTTGACAAGATTATCGATCTTGAGCTGAATGATAAAGAGAGAATCAATGAAGTGGGGTCGACAAAGCTGTGATAGCAGTGACTGGGGGCCTTACAGTGTATCAATTGGTCTCTATGAAGCTAGTCTCTTGGAATGTCAGAGGCAACTCGAAAAGAGGGGCTGAATCAAACGTCTTTTGAGAGATAGACATATTGATGTTGCTTTCTTTCAAGAAACTAAGAAAGTAATGGTTTTAAATTTTGTTGCTCGTGGGCTTTGAGGAAATAGGAAAATGGAGTTTATGTCTGTGGACCCTGTTGGCACTGTAGGAGGGCTCCTTTGCATTTGGGATCCGGATGTTTTCCAACTATCTGGGAGCTGCTACAACAGGAGGTTTATTCTTCTCTCAAGTACACTCTACAATTCTTTTGATTGTGTTCTTCTAAATGTGTATGTACCTAATGATGTCAGTAGCCGATCCACTCTTTGGAATTCCATAATTAAGCTCAAAGACTCCTTCCCTAGCCTTTGGTGCTTAGGTAGTGATCTTAATGAAATAAGGCACATGCGAGAGAAAGTTGGATGTGTAGAAGAGATAGGGGAATGCACCATCTTAATGAGTTTATAGACAAATGCAAATTGAGTGACTTACCCCTTCTTGGACGATCATACACTTGGTGTAACTCTCAGGAGGCCCAAAAATGGAGTAGAATTGACAGAATCATGCTCAGCCCAGAATGGTTGATCCACTTCAAAATGAAGCTTTGGGGCCTGCCTAGGTTAATGTCACATCATTGCCCTCTATTGATGATGGAAGATGAAAGAGATTGGGGCCCTAAGCCCTTTAGGTTTATTAACGCTTGGACCTTGCACTCCAATTTTTCTCAACTTTTCATTTCTTGCTGGGAGAACACTACTATTACTGGTTGGGCAGGCTTCATAATCTAGCAAAAACTCAAGCACCTTAAGGTGGAATTAAAGGTATGGAATACTGAAGTGTTTGGTAATATTACCACTAAACTCGATGCTACAGAGGAGGAATTGCATGCCTTAGACAGAATTGCAGAGGAAAGGGTACTGCATCAATCAGAAATGGCTCGAAAAAGAGAAGCAAGATATGAAGTGTGGAAACTCTATATAAGTGTGGAATGGTTATGGCATCAACAATCCAAAATGAACTGGTCTCTGCATGGTGACAAAAATACTAGATTCTTTCATGCTGTTGCAAGTACCAGACATAATTGGAACATGATAAATTCCATCTCAGTAAATGGTGTGTCCTTGGAGGAACCTAGTAGAGTTAAACATGAGGTCTTCCTTCATTTCAAGAAACACTTCAAGGAAAGCTGGGTTAATAGGCCTGTGTTGGGAGGGGAATTCAAATTAATTGAGGGCACTATCTCCTACCATCTTGTATCAGATTTCACTAAAGCAGAGGTATGGGCTGCCATTAAAGAGAGTAATAGTAACAAGGCTCCTGGCCCAGATGGGTTTAACCTCCTATGCTATCAGAAGTTTTGGAGAATAATGAAACAGGAGATCATGCAATTCTTCTAAAATTTTCACAATCACAACAGTCTTACCTATGGAATCAACAGCTCTTTCATTACACTTATCCCCAAAACTTCTAATCCTATTAATTTTTCTGACTACAGACCCATTAGCCTGGTGGGTTTAATATACAAGTTTTTAGCGAAAGTTCTATCGGACAGATTGAAGTCCGTGATGCCCTCCACTATTGGTGACACTCAGATTGCTTTCATAGAGAGAAGGAACATCATAGATGGGGTGTTTAGTGCCAATGAAGTAGTCGATGGTTGGAAGAAGGCTAAGCAACAAGGGTTGATTATCAAGCTAAATTTTAAGAAAGCTTTCGATTCAGTAAACTGGGAGTTCTTGTTCTCTTTGATGTCCAGCTTTGGATTTTGGCTAAATGGGTCTCTTGGATAAAAGCCTGCATGTCTACATCTAGAATTTCCATCCTCGTCAATGGTTCACCAACTAATGAGTTCTTACCGCAAAGAGGACTCCAGCAAGGTGACCCATTGTCACCTTTCCTTTTCAATATAAGGGGCTTAATATTCTCCTGAATAGAGCACTAAATCTTGGCATCCTTCATGGTTTTTCAATTGGGGTTAATGAGGTTCTTTTATCTCACCTTCAATTTGCTGATAAGTCAATCCTTTTCTGTGAGGCTGACATGGATGAGGTGGTGATTGTCAAAAGACTCCTTCGATGCTTTGTGGAATACTGAAGTGTTTGGTAATATTACCACTAAACTCAAGGCAACAGAGGAGGAATTGCATGCCTTTGACAAAATAGCAGAGAAAAGAGTACTGCTTCAATCAGAAATGGTTTGAAAAAGAGAAGTAATATGTGAAGTGTTGAAACTCTATAGGAAGGTAGAGTGGTTATGGCATCAACAATCCCGAATGAACTGGTCTCTGCAGGGGGACAAAAATACTAGGTTCTTTCGTGCTGTTGCAAGTACCAGACATAATAGGAACATGATAAGTTCCATCTCAGTAAATGGTGTGTCTTTAGAGGAACCGAGTAGAGTTAAACATGAGGTGTTCCTTCATTTTAAGAAACACTTCAAGGAATGTTGGGTCAATAGGCCTGTATTGGGAAGGGAATTCAGATTAATTGAGGACACTATCTCCCATCATCTTGTATCAGATTTCACTGAAGCAGAGGTATGGGCTGCCATTAAAGAGAGTAATAGCAACAAGGCTCCTGGCCCAGATGGGTTTAACCTCCTATGCTATCAGAAGTTTTGGAGAATAATGAAACAGGAGATCATGCAATTCTTCTAAGATTTTCACAATCACAACAGTCTTACCTATGGAATCAACAGCTCTTTCATTACACTTATCCCCAAGATTTCTAATCCTATTAATTTGTCTGACTACAGACCCATTAGCCTGGTGGGTTCTATATATAAGTTTTTAGCGAAAGTTCTATCGCACAGATTGAAGTCCGTGATGCCCTCCACTATTGGTGACACTCAGATTGCTTTCATAGAGAGAAGGAACATCGTAGATGGGGTGTTTATTACCAATGAAGTAGTCGATGGTTGGAAGAAGGCTAAGCAACAAGGGTTAATTATCAAGCTGAATTTTGAGAAAGCTTTCGATTCAGTAAACTGGGAGTTCTTGTTCTCTTTGATGTCCAACTTTGGATTTTGGCTAAATGGGTCTCTTGGATAAAAGCCTGCATGTCTACATCTAGAATTTCCATCCTCGTCAATGGTTCACCAACTAATAAGTTCTTACCGCAAAGAGGACTCCGGCAAGGTGACCCATTGTCACCCTTCATTTTCAATATAAGGGGCTTAATATTCTCCTGAATAGAGCACTAAATCTTGGCATCCTTCATGGTTTTTCAATTGGGGTTAATGAGGTTCTTTTATCTCACCTTCAATTTGCTGATAAGTCAATCCTTTTCTGTGAGGCTGACATGGATGAGGTGGTGATTGTCAAAAGACTCCTTCGATGCTTTGAAGTTCTTTCTGGGTTCAGAATCAATTATCACAAGAGCGTTGTATGTGGTATAGGTGTGAATGATGTGTTTCTACATGCCTTTGCAAAGCTTTTGAACTGTAAGGTGCAAAGCTTGCCACTGAAATTTTTGGGGCTGCCTTTAGGAGCCAACCCAGGTAGAAAATCAACCTAGAAGCCTGTGCTTGATAATATTAGATCTAGACTATCAGGCTGGAAGAGGAAAATATTGTTATTTGCAGGGAGGTTAACCTTGATCAAGTCTGTTCTCTCGAGTCTCCCTGTGTACTATCTTTCTCTCTTCAAGATGCCTAAAGGTGTGGCTCATGAAATTGAAAAGATTGAGGCTGCTTTCTTGTGGGGTGGTAATGGTCTAAAAAGAAAAGTTCATTTTGGTAAAATGGGTTGAGGTTACAAAAAGTGTTGCCCAAGGGGACCTGGACATCAGAAGGATTAGGGATGTTAATCCATGCTTGCTTCTTAAATGGTGGTGGAAATTTGGAAATCAAATTTCAGCATTATAGATAAAAGTTATTTGCAGCAAGTATAAAATTGAGGTAGAGTGTTGGCATCCTCCTATGCAATCCTCCTACAAGCACTCTAGGGTATGGAAGGATATTACCTTTATAGGGGTTCATAGTTTGAATACGTTTCATTTCTTCTTGGAAAACTGCCAAATCAAGGTTGGGGACAGTAATCTTATTAGATTTTGGCATGATAAGTGGTGTGGATCTGCATATCTCAAGGATGAGTTCCTTTCTCTCTTCAACCTGTCTGCTGATAAGAATGGATCTCTTCAACAATTTTATGCTAGGAAAACCAACACTATAGTCTGGAACTTTCCCTATAGAAGAGTCCTGTATGCTTGGGAAGTGGCCGCTGAAGCTAGGTTGATTATAACGTTATCCTCTGCTCCCCACTTGAGCCTTAACAATGCTGACAGTTTGGTGTGGTCCTCTACAGCCTCAGGTTCTAGTGTTTTCTTCGTGTCTTCTTTATATTCTCTTTGCAATTCTCTCATTGGGCCTCATCTCATCATTAGCAAGTTCGTTTTGTGCAATATTTTACCTCTCAAAGTTCATTTTTTTGGATAGTTAGCATGGAAAAATCGAATCAAAACAGTTGTGTTTCTACTTAATATTGGTTTTCTTGGCAGCAATGTTTCTCCCTTATGTCCTTTCTGCAAAATGGCTCCTGAATCTGCTTCTCATGTTTTGTCTCATTGCCATTTCTCTTGGACCATTTGGTTATCTGTTTTATATGACTGGGGGCTTTGTTGGTGTATCTCACAATCTGTGACAACCCTGTTCGATTGGTGGAAGGGTGGCAAATTTAAGCGCCCACTCAAGAAATTTTGGGGAGCAATTCCACTAGTAGTTCTCTAGTCTCTTTGGAATCATAGGAATGAGTGTGTTTTTAGAGATGCTCATCCTAATTGCGCAGACTTGTGGGAACTTATTAAGATCATATTAGCTCTTTGGCTCAAAGCTTCTCTCAAGGACTTCCCTTTCTCAGTCGAGGACGTAGTTCTCAATTGGAGACAAATTAGGCTCTGTTATTGAGTTTAGAAGAATTCCATCGCTGTGTTGTAGAGCATCAGCTACTGCATTCTCTGTGCTGTTTTCTATCTTAATCTGCTCTGCAATCTGTTAGTGATTTTACTGGTTGATTGATTCTACTGTTTTACTGGGTGATTGATTTTGCTATCTTTCTTTGTTAGTGATTGATTTTGCTGTTGGTAGTTTGCCGATTGCTCTACTGCTCTGCTGATTGTTTTTGCTGGTTGATTGGTTTTGTTGTTAGTAGTATGTTGTTAGTGGCTAAGAACCTGATCTAATCTGTTAGTTATCTACAATTTGGTAGTTATTTGTTGGTAGTCTGCTGCTGGAGGTTCATGTGGAAGCCATTTTGTTGTTCTGCTGCTTGAGGTTCATGTGGAAGCCATTTTGTTGTTCTGTTTGTTCTTTCTTTGCTACTTGTTGGTCTCTCACCAACTGGAGCTTGGAGCTTTTGCTAGCTCCAAGTTCCTTTTTATTGATGTACTATTTCATACTTTGTGTGTTCCCATCAATAAAGATTTTCTTTTGCCGATCAAAATAAATAAATAAATAAATAAATGGGATGGGAAAAGAGAAAGCAAATCTATCCCAACAGCACTTCTTCATTGAGGCAAAAAGAAACTCGTGCGAACTGAGTCGAGAGACGCAAGGCAGAGCGAGACCGAAAAATTGACCATCCTTAAGATTTATATATATATATATTACAAAGAAGTGTGATATTTCCCATTGAGAGGCCTAAGTCAACAATAGCCTCACTGGCCTTACACTTATGGAGATGTAAATACCAAATATTGATTCTTTGCAGGGTTCATAGTAGATGCTTCCTATTAGAAAAACAAGGTTTGTTCTGTCTGATACAAAAGCCTGGCTTTCTTTTCTATAATTATATTTGAATTATAAGTTTAAATTTAAAAAAATGAAAAGAGAAATACAAATTGGAGAGAAAAGCAAATAAAATAGGACACTCGGTCCATAAATCCAATTTTAAATTTCTTCCGTCCAAGGGTCGCTAAATTACTCTACTCATAAAGACATTTTTATGCAAAATGATCAAATTACCCGTTCTCCTGTCTGTGAAGTTACACTTATAGAACATACAAAATAATTATCTGTTTTAATAATTTTGTTTCATTTCAAATTTTAAGGAACTGTAAATAACAGTTTGGCTTATAACTTTGTCTTAAATCAAATCAAATCAAACCATACTCACTGTAATTTTAATTGGAGTACTCATTTAATATTGAAGGTTGGTTGCTGACAAGAAACTCATCATATGTTGAATCTCGTGATAAGATTTTAATCTCTTAATAAGACTTGTTTATTTTTAGAAAGGTAAGAAAGCATTTCACTGTTGATATTTAAAAATAACTAGACAAATATTTTTCCTTGAACATCAAAAACATTACAAGCAATATTTCTTAAAATGGTAAAAGACATAATTGACACCCTCAACAATGAATTTATAAGAAAAATGATCACAATAAAATAAGTGAGTTTCTTATCATTAGATCATTTCGAATAGAAGCAAAGCCATGGAGCCAAATTCGACATTTTAGCCCTCACTTTTGAATTTATTAAAAAAATAAATATATCACAACAAAATAAGTTACATTTGGATAGTTGGCAATCAATTTTGAAATTTTAGCCCTCACTTTTGAAATTTTACTACTTCAAAATAGTGAAAGTTCACTATCCGAATGCTACAAGACTGAAATTTCATCTTTCTATATATATATATTTCATATGTATTATAGGTCTACTCCAATAGACCTGAACGATCCAATTTTAAATTTTGATATCATTCAAAACTAAAACAATGTTCATGTTGAAGTGTTAATGTTTGAATTTTGTAATTTACAAACAAATTTTTTTAGGGAAAAAAATGATAATAGAAGGATTTTGTAAATTAGCTACTACTTCATCCACTTTTCACTTAAAAATCTCTCTCCAAATATAAGATTCAAGCATAACCTTAAATTGGCATCCAAGACATTATTGGAAGACAAACATTAACTGAAATCCCTAATTTAAGAAGTTAGAAATGATGAAATGAAGGTTTCTAATTGATCAAGTATAGCCATATCTTGTTCATGCACAGTCACCCATGCCTCTACTCCACCAGGATATTTAGAATCCATAATGATGATAGAGTTCTTAGTGTCCATGGTAGCAATACTCACCCAACTGGGCTTTCCCTACCCAAAATCTGCTTCATAGATTGGAAACCCACACCAACTACTGAACCTCAACACCTGCACTTTCCCTTTGGAAACCAGTTCACCTATTTTCTTCAAATCATTCATGACCACTTCAAAACCATCATCCCCTTGTCTTTCTTTTACATAATCACAATCAATTTTTTCAATTGCAACCCTCAGCTTAGTCACCAAGGTAGCCAAATTTATTTCGCCATTCGAAACTGCATTCGCCATCAAAAAGAGATTGCCAAAACAATGTTCTGGCAATGCTGGGACCATCCTTTTCCTTATATTCACTGGATGAAACGCCATTGATGTGCTTGCAATGGAACCGTACTTCTTCCATATTAGTGCTGTTACCACCTCCACTCGGGTAGGTTGTATGCCGGCCAAATAGGGTACAACTTCAAATTTTAGAGCAGCTATTGTTAAGGCACTGAAAACCAATCTTCTAGTAACAAGTCCTGCTTCTAGAATTCGACCTACGTGCTTGAAACCTGTGTGGGTGATTTTCTAATCACACTGCCCGTTTAGTAATCAGTTAGAGAGCACCGGCAGAATAGATGACTTCAGCTAACCTGTAACAGAAAGAGAAGGCTCCGGCGGTGGTTCTACCACCAGGGGGCATTCCGACGATCAAGTCAGTATATCTCTCAAAGATAATCAATAATGCTAAACTCAATGCTCAAAGCATAAATTGCGTACCTTAGACCCACGGGGGTGCCTCTCTTTTATAGTTAACTCAATCCTAGTCCCACTAGAAGTCTGACTTTTATGGACTCCAATTCAGTACTTACTTTGGACTCCTCAAGAGATAAGGATAAACTCCCTAAGAGCTTTATCCTCATCTTGACTAAGTCTCCTCTTCATTCTAGGACTCTTATCCCTTATCCGTTTATCTCGGATTTCGATATCTTCAGAGATAACCTTGACAACGCCGAGATAACCTCGGCATAATGACCAGGACACGTGGCACCTCGGCTGACACATCGGCGTCACCTTGCCACGTGTTGGTACTCAGAAAATATATCCCCACAACTGCCCCTTAGGTTCTATTACCTCGGCATTTTGAGGTGATAGAACCTATATCGGTACTTCTTCCTGTACATCGGCTCAAGAACTCCTCAACTGAGATCATTCATTTCAGGCCGACATGTTTTCTTCAGAGAACAAGAATTCCAGTGAACTCTTTCACGTGTGTGAGCTGTCACGTATCATTTACTCAACCGTTTCATTCACGCGTCTCCACCTCATTGGACCGTGCCCATGACGCGCTTGTAATCCGTCTTGCATCTGTGGGCGTCGTCTGACATATGTGTTGTTCCAGGCGTATTTAATGCTCCGTTTTGCCGCCGTTTCAAATTTTTGACAAAATCTTTCCCCCTTTCTTCATTTTTTCACTTTTGCATTCGATTTCTCTTCGCTTTTTCTCTTTCTAGCTCTTGAATACGCCATTGTTTCAGTCCCAAGTTCTGCAATTGTCTTCATTTGTCTTTCTGGTGAAGCTTTCACTACTCTGTTACTCCTATAACCATCGTCTGACTTCGGCGAACCTTATTCCGGCCTTACTTATTCTGGTAAGTTACTGTTCCTTTCGTTTTCAATTCTGTTGATATTCTTCATTACTTGTTGCCATTATTGTTTCAAATCTTACGAATCACATATCTGAACGTATTTATTCAAATGGTTTTGATCTTACCCATATCTTGAATACATACTGTTCACCACTTTGTTGCTTTCTTGTTACTGTTCTTGACCCTTTATTTCTCTTATTCTTTATGCTCTTGACATCCCATCCCTGTTCTTCATTCTAAAGCACGTCTTTGCCTTTCTGTCTTCCAGATCCGTGCCTTCAACCCTTGCTTTCATAGATCTAGGTTTGGGATTTGTTTGTGCAGAACCCATAATTTAGGAAAAAACTGGAACTAGTACTTTACCTAGGTTTTTGCTGAGGTCCCATCAATAAAAAACATCTTCTTTCTGAATTTTAACCCTTCTAATTCAGGCTGGTATCATGGGTATGTGGAGACATAGGGTAGACACCCCGACTAAACTTGAGTACTTTAGGCAAGAGTTCTCCATTCCTGCCGATGTCCATCTGAGGTTGGCTGGAGATGATGACTCCATCATGCCCACAGATGATTCAATGCCCTTTCCCATTGTGGCTTTCACTGAGTGCGGACTCCGGCTTCCACTCAACATCCTTTTTCGCGAGATTCTTCACTACTATAAGTTGAACCCCATGCAACTGGCCATTAAGTCTTATCGAGTGATCCATGGTGTCATTGCCTTAGCTAAACAGGAAAACACTAGGATCACCCTAGCCGATATCTAGTACTGCTATACCATGTGTGCCCTTAATTTGAAAGAAAAAGGCTACATTTATTACCTTAAGCCGAGGTCTACAGAATTCAAAATCGTAGCCGACCTTCCAGACTCCAACAAGGGGGCTGGAGATGACTATTTCATTACCTCAGGAAATTAGGAGTTTGCTCCAGACGAGGACGTCCATCTCTACCCTCTTCCTCGATCAGTTTTAGAGGGCAAGGGTAAGAGCCCAGTATTCAGCTTTGCCTATTTTCTTTCAAAGTCTTAAATACTTTGTTTGTTTCTGACGTCTGTTCTTCTTGCGGCTGTTCGTAAGCCACCGAAAAATTTTCGCCAATCCTTTGTTCCCAGCAAGGATTTGAAGAAACTTCTGGATTTGCCAGTCCATAAAAGGAAAGTGCCTGTGCTTCTCAATTTTATTCCAACATATAAGTCAACTTTACTCGACGTTCCCAAAAGGAAGAAGAAAAGCCTTTCTCCACCCTCTGCTACAACTCCATTGACTGCATCCACATCACGAACAGGTCAAGGATCAACATCCAATCCAGCTGATCAGCCATCAGCTTTGGCTCCACACCTGGTCCCAATATCCGAACGAAAACGTCGGCGACGACTTGTCCTTACTGCCGAGATGCGTCGCCCAAAACCAGTTACAAAAGACCTCTTTGCCAGCATTCCATCATCTGTTGACGACCAACCAGCACAAACCCAACCTCCACCGAAGCCGAAAAGAATAAAGAAGGCTCAACCAAAGGCTAAGATAGCTCAGGTTGAATCTGAAGACACCTTGCCTATCTCAAAGTTGGCTAAAAGTGATAAATCTCAGCCTTCTGCTGGGAAGAGGCGCTCTGAGTCTCAACCACCAGAATCCCAAAAACCAAAAAAGCCAAGGTCTTCTTCTGCAACAACCTCGGGATCAAAAAAACCTGATGCCCCCTGGGCCCCCTCAATTACTCTGGAAGACAAGCCTGTTATGGCAAGTGACAGTACCGAGGATATTAATGTCGGCGTTGCACTCAACACTGCTCTACTATTACCAGGTGATTTGGAGCGAAACGTCTAGTACAGTGAGTATGAGAATTACGCTCTAATGCTTCAGCACTCTGTTCAGGTAGATATCTTCTATTTGGTAATTCTCTTCTTTCTTTCTCTTTATTTCGTACTTTGAATATTCTCTAATACCTCTGTTTTCTTTCAAGCCATCTAGCATGCCCACTCTTTCTTAATGCAGTCTTTTAAGAATCGAGAGAGGCTTGTCGAGATGAAGAGGGAGTTTTCTGCCCTTCAAAAGGCCAATAAAAACCTTTAATCAAAAATAAAGAAGTTGGAGGATCAGGTTGAGGCTGCTATCAAAGCCCAGACTGAGGCTGAAGACAAGGCCAATTCTGCCGAGGCCATAAGGAAGGTTGCTGAGTCCCAGAGAAAAGAGGCCGAGGAGAAAATGGCCCAGGCCGAAAAGGAACTTCAGGAGGCCCTGGCCACCAAAGACGCCGAAATCAAAGAAGTTGATGAAAAGGCGTACACTCAAGGCATGGCCGACATTACTGAGGCTTATGAACTTCAAGTGAAGCAGGCATGCAACAAGGGTTTCACCCTTGGTTGGATGTCTCTTCTGAAAAAACTCAATGTCCCTAATGATTTACCTCTGAGAAATGCTGACGATATTCCTCTTCCATTCCCTCCACCTCCTCCACCAGCTCAGTCCGATGAAGATTCAGAATCTGAAGATGAGGAAGAGGATGATGCCTTGGTAAGAAAAGCAAATGAGGCTACTGCGTCCAAGTCCCCTTCTTAAAATGAGCAAGTCCTAGACTTAACTCAAGATGAGGAGGTTGAGGAGGTTCCCAAGGATGTGATTCCTTCAAAGGTATCATCGGATTCACTTCTTGCTGATAAGAGTATTGATGAGACCCTTACCCAAATTGATGCCGAGATCGCGGCGGAGAAGGCGGCTGAGGTATCTTCTCAGCAGTCCTCCGACGTCCAAACCCAGCCTGCTGCCGATGTTGGGGAATCTTAGTTTTGATGTCATGTCTTTTCTTTTCTTGTCTTTTGTACTCTTGTACTTCTTTGTTTCTTTAGACGATGTAAGCTTTGCATATGGCCGATGTGCCTCCTTGTTTTGTGAATGCTAACTCAACTTTCTTTTTCTGAATGCTTGTATCTTTGTCTTCTTCTAACTGCTCTTGCATGATTCTATACTTAGGATATTTTGCATGTCTTATATACTCTTCCTTCTTTGTGCAATCTTCTCAGGGTGACACACCTCGGTTATGCCCTCTGACGATTTACTTCGGCAAGTACTTGTCCTGTAAATTGCTTACAAATTTTAACAAGGATAAACATATACTAGTTTAATCTCAACTTTGTAAACTTTTCTTAAGTTATAACAAGTGCCAAACAATGATCAACTTGTAAATTGCTACAAATTTCAACAAGTGTTAAGCATCACTTCGGTTTAACTTCAACTTGTAAATTGCTACAAATTTCAACAAGTGTTAAACATTTTATATCGATTTAACTTCAACTTGTAAATTGTTACAAATTTCAACAAATGAAGGTAAACAATAATCTCGGATTAACTTCAACTTGTAAATTGCTACAAATTTCAACAAGTGAAGGTAAACAATAATCACGGCTTAACTTCAACTTGTAAATTGCTACAAATTTCAACAAGTGAAGGTAAACAATAATCTCGGCCTAACTTCAACTTGTAAATTGCTACAAATTTCAACAAGTGAAGGTAAACAATAATCTTGGTTTAACTTCAACTTGTAAATTCACACAGAATTTCAACAAGTGTTAAACATGACCTCAGTTTAACTTCAACTTGTAAATTCACATAGAATTTCAACAAGTGTTAAACATCATGTCGGTTTAACCAACGTGTAAATTGCTACAAATTTCAACAAGTGGTAAACATCATGTCGGTTTAACCAACTTGTAAATTACTACAAATTTCAACAAGTGGTAAACATCATATCGGTTTAACCAACTTGTAAATTGCTACAAATTTCAACAAGTGGTAAACATGTTCTTCTTCTCTCTGCCCCCTGCATGGCTTCCACATACTCCTTTGCGAACCTTATAAAAGATCTTCAACCTGGCTAACTGTAGTCCAACCTTGTGTGTTTTTTTTTTTTTATCTTCTGGGATCTGAGATTTGCTCACTGAGCTCTTCTCTTTTCGGACTTAAGTACCGAGATCTTGTCTGCTAGAATCTTGGATCTGCTCACTTAGGTTGAGCTCTTCTCTTCTCGGACCTACTCATCTAGGCCGAGATCATGTCTTCTAGGATCCGGGATCTAGAATCCGGGATCTGCTCACTTAGGTTGAGCTCTCGTCTTCTCGGGCCTACTTGTCTAGGCTGAGATCATGTCTTCTCGGATCCGGGATCCAGGATCTGGAATCCGGGATCTGCTTACTCAGGATGAGTTCTTCTATACTTGAATGTTATCTCCTTGGGAGCGCTCATGCCCCTTGTCTTTGCATCCCTTTCGGAAGGGTCTTCGTTCCTCCGCAGGTATCTATCCTTCCATACCTAGAGGTCATCTTCGTTGTAGTATCCGCTTCGATCTGTTGTCTTTGGTGCGTCACCTTCCTGGCAGGCGTCTTTCACTCCGTGACTCTGGTCACGAGTTTCTGTGTTGCGGTTGTCCCCTTCAACGTCGAGGTTGATAGATCTCCCATTTCCAGCAGGAGCGTTGTCTCCAATCTGATCCTTTTGTCCGTCATTGGCCATATATTCTTCTTTCTTTTATTGGCCATCTATTCTTCTTTCTTTTCCACTGACGGCGCCAAATTGTGTGGGTGATTTTCTGATCACACTGCCCGTTTATTAATCAACTAGAGAGTACTGGCAGAATAGATGGCTTCAACTAACCTGTAACAGAAAGAGAAGGCTCCGGTGGTGGTTCTACCACCCGGGGGCACTCCGACGATCAAGTCGGTATATCTCTCAAAGATAATCAATAATGCTAAACTCAATGCTCAAAGCATAAATTGCGTATCTTAGACCCACGGGGGTACCTCTCTTTTATAGTTAACTCAATCCTAGTCCCACTAGAAGCTTGACTTTTATGGACTCCAATTCAGTACTTACTTTGGACTCCTCAAACGATAAGGATAAACTCCCTAAGAGCTTTATCCTCATCTTGACTAAGTCTCCTCTTCATTCTAGGACTCTTGTCCCTTATCCGTTTATCTCAGATTCCGATATCTTCGAAGATAATCTCGGCAACGCCGAGATAACCTCGGCATAATGACCAAGACACGTGGCACCTCGGCTGACACATCGGCGTCACCTTGCCACGTGTTGGTACTCAGAAAATATATCCCTACAAAACCGATTGGCTCTCTTGGTGGGGACAAAGTTGCTGAGACGAAACTTGGACACACCAAACTAGGCTTGTCGCGTGCAGTGGCAGCCCACCCTTTGATGAATGTGCTCAGGGTGCACCCATCAGCAATCTTGTGTGAGATGCATAAACCGACTACTACGCCTCCGCAGTTGAATAAGTTAACTTAGATGGCTAGTTGTTGTTGTTGTTGTTGTTCTTCTTCTTTATCTATGCTCAATACTCGGAAACTTAATTTATAAGGAATCAATTGGTTCAACACATCAAGTTCTGGTCGATCAATGATATTCAAAAGCTGGCTATCAACACGGGTTTCAATGTAATCGACCCCCTTGTCGTTGCAATCCACTGAACTCTCACCTTTCACCCTTCCGGCCAGTGGGTAGAATTGAGTTAAGGTGTTTGATAGTGACGTTCTTAGCATAGAAGAGACCTCGGATTGTTGGACTTGAGTTGCTTCTTCAAGAGAGTAAAAAAGGACAAGAGGGACATATTGAAAAGGACAGATCTGATCAAATAAAGAGAGCATGTAGTTTTTGAGGTTAGAAGGTGTAGGTGAGGATGGTTTGATGAGCTCTCTAGAAATTATGTCAATCTTCATTATCAAAAAATCAAAAATTAAATTAGTTGTGTGCTTTGGTTAAGTAACTAATATTCCTAAAAATATCATTTTGCTTTTGGGAGGAATCTCAGTAGAATTTTGCAAAGACAATGTTATCTTCATGGTAATTAGTATGTTAATAAATGCTCCACAACACAACAAAGCTAATATGGTAATTTATCATCAAAAGCAAAAGATTAAAGACCCATAAAAAATTATTCATAACAAAGAAATAATTTTTTTTAACAATTTTCGAACATATCGATTCTTTTAAATTCTAAAAAAAATATAAAAACAACTAAAAAAATAATTGCCAAACTCACCCTGAATAAGTACTTCCCAGTAAAAATTTGATTTAACACAAAGAGTTGCATGTGTAGCTAGTTTTGGAAACAAGGTATGCCAATAGGAACTCTCAAGAATGATTGTAAAATTTTACAAGAATTTATAGAAATGGATATGCATTTATTTATATGAATATAATTAAGTACCTTTCTATGAATTTATGATCATGTCTTAGATGGGTTCTCCAAATCAATCCCACGTGTACAATGACTTCAATGTGACAATAAAAATAATTGTATGATTGTCAAGTTAGATCATGGTTTTTAACTATGAGATCCTCTGATTTTCCTTCCAACTTCGATGATGGCATGAAAGCAACTCTAAGGCCTTGAAGATGTAGTTTTCGCTTGATAGTATTATCCGTTATGACATATAACATTAATTGGCTTTACCAATTTGTTCTTTTCATTTGAAAATGTGTTTTGAAGGTTATGTTTAGATCATAAATTTAGATAGAGATTTGAAAACGGTTAAAAGAAAAAAAAAAAAAAAGGAAAAAATATAAATAAAATCTAAACCAAATTTTTTTCTCCCTTTCTCTTTATTTTATTTATTTATTTTTTTTTTCAAATCTCTATTCAAATTCATGATCTAAACATAGCATAAAAAATAAGTGTCTTACATTGACTTTATAAAAGGGAAAATTAGCGATACATCGTCCATATAGTTTAAGTAGTTGAAGAGGTCCAAAATAATTTCATTTCCTAGTTAAGATATCTCACAGTTATTATTTTAGTATTTAAGTCATTTATTCCACCTTTTATATTATTTAAGTGATTTAAAAACTTCAAAATTTCATAACTTTTGATTTACATTTCTATTTTTTTTTTAATTATATTTTTAGAATCCTATTGGCAAGTTCTTTTAAATAAGATTCATGAGTAATATAAAGGGAAATTGTTTGTTAAGGTTCTTGATATTAAGATTTTATAAGATAAAGAATATAAAATATTTATATAGTAGTTAAGGTCCCTCAACATTTTTACAGAGAAAATTCGATTAAGAGAAATTTCAATTTTCATGTAGAAAGTTCTCTAATTTCACATAGAAATTTCATCGAGAAACCTTAACCTAATAAAAAAAAAAAAATCTTTGGCCTCTCCTATTACACAAAGTTGAAGAGAGATATACTTCACTTATTTTCCCTCATATTAAAATTCTAGAAAAAAAAAATCAAGAAATTTCACTAGCTTGATCTTCGAAATTTCACTAACAAGCCGAAATTTCATTGACTTGACTTGGTCATTGAAATTTCACTAACCAAACAAAATTTCATTGACTTAGACTTAGTCATCACTGCCAACTGAAATTTCAATAACTTGTCTCAAATCAGTGAAATTTTGTCAAATTTTTTCTTTTAAAATTTTGTGTTAATTATGGATCTTATTTTATAGATCTTGATAAAATAATTTCAAAAATACAAATTATATATATTAAAAAAAAAAAGAGATAGAGATCTACATCAAAAGTTGTAGAATTTTAAAATTTTAAAATGAGTTAAAAAAAGATATAGAATTTTGTCACCATATGTTTTAGAACACCTAAATTAATATAAAAAATTGTGTTATCAACCGAACCTTTTTCAGAGCCCAAGGAAATATTCATATTTAAATTGTAATTATAATTTTTAATATTTTATTTTCATCTATAATTAATTTTTGAGAGATTTATTAAAAATTTTTTTTTAAGTGTTTGTATCCCAATTAATCTATAAGATATTCTTGTATTTCAATAAGTCCAATTATTTAAACATTTGACCTATCAAATTATAATTATCATATTTAAGATATTTTATAGATATTTCTACCCTTACAAATATTTTTTGAACGGTTAGCAATTTAATGATGTGAACATTCATATTTTACAATGTGAATATTTACATTGACATGTGAATGTTCATATTGATAGTGTGAATATTCACATCACAGAACATTCGCACTGTAAATATGAATATTATTAGGGGTATTTTGGTAACTATGTCACCCATAATACTTATTGAAATATAAAAAAATAATATGAACTAAATGGAACATAAGTAGGTAAAAATGGATTTAAGAAAAAATACTCCTTAATTTTTCTTGCTTTTTTATAGGCAAAATTACTAATTAAGCTTGTCATTAAGTTTTTTGACAGATCTTCTTTGATTAATAAAATGGAGAAATCTACTTTATTTTTTGTGTGTCATGGTCAGTTTTAAGCAAGATTTAAAATTTGAAAATTTTATTTTTGCAAAAGCAATTGTAACAGTTATTGATAATAATAAGCAAAAGGAATCTAGTTTTTAATATTATTTGGTCTGTCAATTGGTATGTTTTTCTTTCCTCTTATTTTTATAAAAAAAATTTGAAATTTGTTTACTCATAAAGTAAAGTAAATTATCAAAATGATAAGAAAAAAAAAAACATCATGTTTCAGATAACTTTTATGATTAATAAAATATTTTTAAATTATCATTATTGAGTTATTTTAATTTTTTAACATTAAATAGAAAATAAAAAGATAATTAAAGCTTATAGCAGTACAAATATAAATATTTGAGGTTTAGAAGACAAACATTAAAAATATACATGACTTTTGTTAATATTGTCTTCATTAAAATTTTGAAATACTTGTACATTATTTATAAAAGTATGTTGTAACAAATACATAAGGGTAAATTACATTGACACCCTTTTAATATCGTTTCCCGTTTACATTTTGAAAATTATATTTCCCTTCCTGAATTTTGTAATCTTATTACAAATTGTTTCATCTTGTTAAGTGGACATTAAGAACTAAACAAAATTTGATGATGTCATACCTAAAGTTTTGTAAATGACCATCTTACCCTTTTTTCTATCATTTCTTCTTCCTATCATGATGATTACACTCTATAACTTTTCATCATTAAATTCTTCATGAACATATTCTTATTGAATAATAATATACAAATATAAATTTTATATAGAATTTCAAACACAATGATGTAGTTCAATGATAACGTTTCACTTTAAACCAAGACACCCATAGAGATGATTTATATTTATAACAATCACTATCACAATATTTTTATGATATTTTTTGTATAAATTTTATATATGAATAAATTTTTCCATTTTTATTTACACTATCGTTTTCTTAATCGTCAATTCACCTGCATTTATTACAGTATTAGCAAACACCACCATTCGCGTAAAATCTAACCGACCACCCAATTAAATTTGGAAGCACAAAAATACAATATATATATATATATATCCGTTTATACAAAATAAAATCCACAAAAATGTACTCCACAGCCTCATGGGGTATGTTTTTTTTTGAATTTTGAATTCTTATTTTTATAATTTTAATAATTTTTACAAATATTTTTAATCATTTTTTTTTGACTTTTTAGATCCATTTAATGTAGATACACTTAAAAAGTATAAAATTTGTACAAAAATTATAAGATTGTAAAATAAATACTCTTAATTAAATTAAAATATCAACTATATAAAAGAAATTCAACAACGATAAAAACATAAAAAAAAATTGCATAAAATATTAAAAATTTTCTATAAAAACAAAAGAACATGATAAACAAAAAAAATCAATTTTCTAATAAGTGAGTTAAACCAAACAAGATGATTGTTATTTTCCTTGGAATGACATAAATAAAATATCTGCATTATTTTATTATTTTACATATATAAAGGCTAAGAGGCAAATATGTCATTTTAATCCAAAAGTTAACAGCGCCAACATAATTACACTAACAGGTGGTCAGTGCAATTTTTTAAGTGTGAGGAGTGATCTGTATTAAACTTAAACCTTAGGGGTGTCAGTACAACCATAAATATTTGAGCGAATTATACTGATAGTCCTTATATTTTGATCTATATAATTTCAATTAACTCGATTTTGATCATGAATTTATGATTTTGTCTCAATTTAATCCAATTGAATACAATTATTATTGTTTTTTTAATAAAAATGCGTACATAAGTAGCAAGTGTCATGACTTTAAGGGTAAAATTATAAGTTTGTTCAACTCAATGAGTTAACCTCGATCAATTTAGTGATAATTTTCCATCAAAAACACTAATGATATTATCAACTGGACCAAATTGATACAAAATCTAAAATTAAGTATCAAAATTGAGGCAATTGAAAATATAGGAACCAAAATGACACAAAGGACAATGTAGAGATTAACGGTGTAATTTGTCCTAAATATTTTAAACTTTGTTAATTAATATCCTTAGAGCACTGATAAAAAAAAATATATAGATAATATAATATATTATGGATAGTGATTTATAATTAATGAAAATTAAAAGATATATGATGAGAAATAAATAAGTGAAAATGAACACTAAGGTTGTGTTTAGGGATTTAGAAAAAAAAAATATTTGACAAAAAAATTAATTTATATTTCTTTCACATTTACTCATTTTTTCAAATTTTGTTTTTTAAAATCTCTCTATCTTAATTCATGATTCAAATAAAATTTAAATATAATAATTTAGATTTTAATTTTATCATATTCAAAAAAAATTAAGTGATATATTAGAATACAAATGGAGTCAGGACAGATTAAAATGGGAAAGGAGAAACAAAATCTATCCCGTCCTCAATAACAAAATTAAGATATATCTATTACAAAGAGGTGTGATCTTTTCCATTGAGAGGCCTCAGACAATAGCCTCACCGGCCTTACACTTGTGGAGATATAAATGCCAAAAATTGATTGGAAAATTTACCCATAAATTTCATATAGGGAAATTTTAATTCATTTAATTTTAAGAGTTTTCTTATGAATTAATTAGTTATTTTTATTTTGGAAGGTTATTGTTATTTTGGAAGGTTTTATTTATTTGACTTGGTGCTATTTGAGTTTAAGTGAATGTCCTTTTATGATTCATTTTTCAATTTTTTGATTCATTTATAAGATGAGAATGGAAAGATGAGGTGTGGAAGATTTTTTTTTCAGGGTTTTGTGACTAAAGTGTTAATTATGAAGTGTGAAAATATACATTTTTATTGTTACATTGAAGTGTTACATTAAAGTACTACGTTTGGAAAAAGTACATTAAGGAGTTTTTGTAACGCTCTAAATTTCTATCCCAAATGATAATACAACAATCATGGCTCTTTCAAGGAAAACCGAATATAAATCTCCAAACTTACATTACATGATACAATAGTTCTTCATGCAACAATACATTAATCCAACAACAAATAAATAAACAAATAAATACCCCCAAGGGTTTACAAGTTTTCACGGCTTGAGCCTGGTTATACAAAACGGTTATTCAAACCCATACACATATAGCCCTTGACTTACACACAGAGTCACAGCAAAATGAGAGTCTCGTACAGGCGATATCACCACATCTTTTCCTACACAAAAATCTCGTAAGGTGAGAATAAAGTCCAGTAGAAAATCCTTAACAAAGTATATATATTTTATACAAGTCTCAAGATATAAAATGCACATGCCATGCTATACCCTTTTGAAAGAAAATCACATCTTCATCTTTGAAAACCATCATGCTCAATGGTGTCATGAAATTTCAATTCTTCAAAACTTAACAATTCATTTCAAGAACGGTAAATACGAATCTAGTAATCCCTAGGTCGGTGTCTGCAAGTAGACTATACAAGTATTACCAATTTGTAATTTTTACCGGTATTAAGCAGAAGGCTCGACACCTATCCGCGCAGGTTTTCAGTCTTTCACTCCGGACTCTCAGGCCAACTTATTCAATATTATCTACATCACTTATCAAGACTTACCAACGTATTTATCCCAAAACCATTCCATAAAAACTTGTTTCTCAACATTTTTTTCTCAATGCAAGTTTTTTAAATCTACTTTCAAAGTTTAATGTAATCAATGAATAGATATGCCAATAACACAAGATGAATATAAATACTTTTATTCCAATTCATCATCCAAGAAGTAACACAATTCCCTCTTCTCAAGTATCCTTAACAATTAGTCATTTCAAGACTATTTCAACATTTTGAACAACAATTTCCAAAATGAACAATAATTCTCATATTCCTTGAAATTCATCATTTATATAAATATAAATAAGAAATTTTCTAAACATCCATTTATTTTGACACACAAAATAAATATAACAATATCATTCATGGATTTTTAGTCTTTTAAATTTTTTTTCCAAATTCTAGGTTTTCTCACAAAAACTATACAACTCAAATCTTTTGAAAAAAAACTTTCCAAAAACATATTTTTTTCAATCAACAAAGATCAAAACCCATAAGATCATTTTAAAAGAACAAGAGAGAAACCTACTTTCAAAATTGTTCAACTTCTTAAATCAATAATCAAATTTTCAAAGCTATCGAAAGATGATTTCGAAAATCATATAGATCTTAAAAAAAAAATATATATATATATATAACTTTAAGAAAATCCCTACCTCAAGTTTTGAAGAAGAAATGAGATGAAACCCCAAATTTTACGGTGTTGAAACTCGATCTTCACCGCACACAACGAAGCCCTCGAGAAGTTACACAACTTTGATGAAGAACTTCAGTCTAACTCCCAACGGATCTTGAGAAATCAAGGTTTTGATCCAATTTGGCGTAGGGAAATGTAGAGAGAAAGGAGAGGAAATGTTTTTAGAGAAAGAGAAATATACAAAAGTGATCTAAAATACCATATTCACAAACTGATATAACATGGTCCGCTCGAGTGTGAAAAGCCCCGCTTGAGCGTCGAATACACATTCCCAGTACTTTTGTAGACAGGTCAAACTTCTAGAATCAAACATTCTCCGCTCGAGCGCATAAACGGCTGCTCGAGCGGACAAGAAACTTCGAACGCATTTTTCATTTTTTCTTCGGGGGTGCTGCCCTCAGACTTACCAAGGGGTGCTGCCCCTTCGACCCCCACGAGCTGACCGGGCAGCTTGATCCCCGACCTGCCCAGTCGAAGTGGTAAAATATGAAAGAAGGGTCAAAACCGGGATCGCTACAACCATCCCCCCTTAAAGAATTTCGTCCTCGAAATTTCAAATCAAACCACCCAAACAAAGGGGTTTCTAGCGATTAAAACCACGCTATTTCATTTTCAAATCACAATACTAACTTTCAACCAGATTCCACTATTTCCACCATGGTTATCTCATTTACAACAACCTCCCAAATACGCATAAACATGAAATCTCCTAAAAAGTAATGGCAACTCTCAACAGCCTTATGCTTAAAACAACAACGCACATATCAACATGTAGTTAACAACTTTAAATACGTTTCCCTCAACACTAGGGAATATTACAAAGAAAAGCAACTTAAGCATATGCAAACAAATCCGGATATTTGGAGCGAACTTTTGCTTCCCGTTCCCAGGTTGCTTCTTCAATCCCATGGTGTCTCCACAACACCTTCACCAACGGTATAGTTCTGCCCTGTAGCATTTTCTCCCTGGTATCTAATATTTGAACCGGTCGTTCTTCGTAAAAGGCATCATCATCTACCTCCAAGTCAACCCAATCAAGAACATGAGAAGGGTCGGGTTCATACTTCCTAAGCATAGATACATGAAATACGTTGTGAACTCTCGAAAGTTGTGGCGGTAAAGCTAACCGGTATGCCACTTCCCTAATTCGCTCTAAGATCTCAAAATGCCCAATGAACCTTGGAGATAATTTACCACTCTTACCAAATCTCATCAAACCCCGCCTTGGTGAGATTTTTAGAAACACATGGACACCAACTTCAAAAGATAAAGGTCGTCTCCTCTTATCAACATAATTCTTTTGTCAGCTTTGGGCCGTAGCTAACCTTTTCCGAATGAGAACAGCTTTCTCGGTTGTCTCTCTAACAATTTCCGGAATCAGTAAAGGTGCATCACCCACTTCGGCCAAACAAACTGGTGATTTACAAGGACGGCCATACAAGGCCTCAAATGGTGCCATCCCAATACTAGCTTGGTAACTATTGTTGTAAGCAAACTCAATCAATGGAAAGTGTCAAGGACACAAGCTCTAAGCATGTCCTCCAAAATCTGAATAGTACATTCCAGCTGTCCATCGGTTTGTGGGTGATAAACGGTGCTAAGAGTCAACTTAGTTCCCAATGCCTCTTGAAGGCTTCGCCATAACCGGGCAGTAAAACGAGGATCCCTATCTGGCACAATAGTCACAGGAACTCCATGAAGTCGACCTATCTC